GTTTTTTCAAATTTTCCGATGTATCTGGAAGAAAAATTGACAAAAACCTAGAAAACTCTTGAAAAAACCGAAAAAAAAGTGAAAACGAGCGAAAAAATTTTAAAAGTTTGAATTCGCGCGCTTTTACTCACCGGGCGGCCTAGAAAAAACCTCGTCCCTAAGGGCTTTCAAGCTATTTTTCGATGCGTTTTTCTCGATGAAGGAATTTTTTTGAATTTTTTCTTTATTTTTATGTCAATCTACATGCGTTTCTGCACATTTTGATACAATAAAAAATTTCACCGTACACCACCTTTGAGAAGTATTACTGTAGAAGATTTTCGAAAATGAAAAAGACTACTGTTGGGAACATTTTTTATAAAATTTAATGGATTACTATAGGGAAAAGTGTTGAATAATGAGAAGGGTTACTGTAGGGCGAAATATTCGAAAATGAAAAAGATTACTATAGAGGAAAACATTCAAAAATGAAAAGGATTACTGTAGAAGAAAACATTCAAAAATGAAAAGGATTACTGTAGGGGAAAACATTCAAAAATGAAAAGGATTACTGTAGAAGAAAACATTCAAAAATGAAAAGGATTACTGTAGGGGAAAACATTCAAAAATGTAAAGGATTACTGTAGAAGAAAACATTCAAAAATGAAAAGGATTACTGTAGGAGAAAACATTCGAAAATGAAAAGGGTTACTGTAGGCAGAAAGGAATCTTACAATTTTCTCTGAAATGCATAATTATAACTGGTATTGTTTATTGGCACAGTATAAAGTGTAATATCAACCTTCTTCTTACCAGATTGCTGGTAGATCTGAAAAGAAGGACATGGATAATCGCTCAAGACAAAATCCCGATGTTTCTATACGTTCATTTCAGAACAATTCTTACCGGAATAGGTCATTTGATTGTTTGCGCTGTGGAACTGTTTCAGTGTAACAAATAAGCTCGGATTCTTCTTCCTATACATCAGGAAATCCAAAAAGTTAGTTGGGATTTTAATTTTAGAGCACATCCGAGCTGTGACAGCTCAGGGAATACTTTTTCATTTCTCAGTGGGACCTCTTTACTTTTCGGATGAGCTTTTTATTTCTGAAAGTCCCTTTTTGTTCCTCAAAGGACTTAATTTTCTGAATTCCTTCAAGCGGACTCTTCTCAATAAATTTTTAAAAAAACTGACTGAATTAAATATTTAACATGAAGTTATTGGAATTTTTTAATATTTTTACAAAGATTTGGCCAATTCCACTTTCTTCCAACTAGTCGACTGAAACTAAATAGCTCCTCTCCTCTCTCGGAAAATTTTCTCCCCCGAAACTGCGGGCTTCCCCCAAAATTCGCCGTTAATGCATGTGCGCCCCGTTGCTAAAATTCGAAAAAATTTCGGCGCAGCTCTCAATTTCGATCGAATAATTTCGTTTTTTCAGTTTTCTGACATTATTTGAAGCTTCAATTCAACCTAAAATCTGTGATGACGAATGAAGCAAGGTTTGTGATGATGAAAACTCGCTCTCAGACAGAATATGTTTATTATAGAACGAATGCTGTAATTCATTCAACCCTTCATTTTTTCTTAAATTCCCTGTATTCCTATTGCTTTTCAGACGTGCTGAAATCGAAAGAATGTTGAAAAAGAGTCGGGAAGCCGAGAACCGTCAAAATTTTTGGCGAAAAATCCCTGGCATGAGTTCGATCGGCTGGCAGGCTTCAGTCGCCGTTGGAGTCGCTATTGCCGCGACAATAGCTTACTATTGTTATTACGTAGAATAAGACATGTAGGAAGTATCTTCATATTTTTAGAAACTTCCGATTCTGAAGAAGGACTCGTCTCCAAGGAAAAAAAACTGTGACAAGCTTGAAAATGCGGGTATATTCTTCGGTTACGAGTCTTTCCTCAGAATTGGAGGTGTTTTCATTTTTGATATCAATTTCTATCATTTTCATCAAGTTGGTTGTGATCTTGCCTATAAATTTCCAGTGTTGTACATATATAAATCAAGAATTGTCTTGCATTCTCCTTTTTTTCTCATGTTTATCGTTCCAATCGACGTTATATCTCTTGAAAACTGACTACTTTTAAACGCCTATTTTTTCAGAATGTTCGGAGCAACAGGATTCGGGAACAAATCATTGTTCGGCGGATCGAATTTGTCTACGACTGCGAGCACCACAGCGACGGCTACACAGAATGACGACTTTTTTGTTAGTTATCACGATGTTTTTTATTTGAAAAGTCCTTATTTCAGGTTGATGGTGCTCCAGAAGATACGATTCAAGTGATAAAATTCAGCCCCCAACCACAAGACAAGCCTATGATAGCATGTGGAGCTTGGGATGGTGTAAGATTTCTCGTTCAAGTTGACAACTTATTTTTTTTTCCAGACGACTCGTGTTTGGATGCTAAACGACTCGAATAATTTTGAAGGAAAGGCTCAGCAAAACATTCCAGCTCCAATTTTAGACATTTGTTGGACTGAGGATAGTTCAAAAATCTTCCTCGCTTGTGCAGACAAAGAAGCCCGTTTATGGGATCTCGCCTCTAATCAAGTCGCAGTAGTTGGAACACACGATGGACCTGTGAAGACGTGCCACTGGATTAATGGAAACAATTACCAATGCCTCATGACTGGATCATTCGACAAAACACTCCGGTTCTGGGACATGAAAAACCTACCAAACCAAACACAAATGGCTTCGCTCACATTAACCGAGAGAGTTTATGCTGCAGATGTCCTTTACCCAATGGCAGTTGTAGCCCTAGCGAACAAGCGTATCAAAGTTTTCAACCTCGAAAACGGGCCATCAGAAGTTAAAGACATTGAAAGTCCACTCAAATTCCAAATCAGATGCATCTCAATCTTCAGAGACAAACAGAATCAGAACCCAGCTGGATTTGCTCTCGGCTCTATCGAAGGCCGTGTGGCCGTCCAGTACGTTGAAGCTGCGAATCCAAAAGACAATTTCACTTTTAAATGCCATCGATCCGCTGACCTCGTCAACGGATATCAAGAAATCTATGCGGTTAATGACATATGCTTTCATCCTCAGCACGGAACACTCGTGACAATCGGATCAGATGGACGATATTCCATGTGGGACAAGGACGCTCGCACGAAACTGAAGACATCAGAACCTCATCCGATGCCATTGACATGCTGCGACGTGCATAGTTCTGGAGCGCTCATGGTTTACGCTTTGGGATATGATTGGAGCAGAGTGGGTTGTTCTATTCATATTATTATATACAGATTACTTTTCAGGGACACGAAGGAAATACACAACCAGGGTCGAAAATCGTTATTCACAAATGTGTCGATGACATGAAACCAAGAGTCCCGAAGAAGTGATTGATCTTTATTTAACTTATTTACAACTATTTTATATACTACACCTCTCTCTCATTCTTACGACCCCACATGTTTTTTTTGTTTTCTTTCCCATGTTTCCACCCGTTCACAATCTCATCTCTGTTTGAATAAGCTAGAGGAAAACGAGAATCATATCTAATTTTTAAGACAATGACGCTTAACTCATTCTTAGTGAGCTCAATATTTTTCTAGAAAAGTTAGATATCATTCTGAAGTACAATGATGTCAGTTTTCCATAGCGATTTCCCGCGTTTTTCCATAAAAAATCCCACTTTTTTCTTCTCATCCTCTGTCTTATAATGATGGTTGTCGTCAGTTGCATCATGTACCTTTCATATCAAGTGGCCAAAAAAGAGAAGAATCCTTCAGAGCTTCTCTTATAGATTGGATTAGGATGAAGCGAGCCGAAGAGCCACCGAATACGACTACGAGCACTGAAAAAGGCCGAAAAGCAGGTTTGTGATCCCCGCTGCTTCTACACGGAAATATACTCGCGACAACCTAAATGTACATGGTCCCTCTCAGAGCAACAGAAGCTCGTCGGTCGCCCGAAAAATTTGATTTAGGACGCGTTGAAGCGGACAAAAGACTTGTTACTCGGGGCCAGTCAGTAAAAAGAGTGAAAAGGTGTGGGAAGAATAGTTAGTAATAATAAACAATGTCTCTTCTATATTCGGATACTAAAAGAGAACCTTGTTTTGATGTTGTTGTGGACTTTCACCGCAAACTTATTAGCAAATTTGGATTCTGGGGGGAACAGTTTTTATAACGTTGAGCTGATGTTTGTGTCGTCCAGAGGAAGAACTGTAAAACTATCTTCATTCTTCATTCGGTAGTGAATCCAATCGCCCTCTGTTCTTTCGTTTCTCTAAAAATTCATTTTTGTTCCGTTCTGCGAAATACGTCGACTGTTCTTAAATGTTTACCATCTTTCCCCCCTAAGGACTTTCCGACTGATGTTCAATATTTGAGAAAACATTTGGCACCCTCTGTCTTCCCTCTTTTTCCTTCTACTTCTATTTCATCTTCGGGTATCCCAGATTCTATATTTTTTTTTCTTAAGCCCTTATCCTCTGTCTCCCAGTTTTCGGCAACGGCTCGCGTCGTCTCCTTTCTTCTTCCTTTCTGCCTCAAAAAAGAAACCATTTTTGATGGGTCCCTCGAGAAACGGCAACTGCTGCTGGGGCTGAGATGGATAGACGGGGGGATGGTGGTGAACCGGAAAAGGCGACGGAAAAAAGACAAAAAATACGAAGAAAGAGGACCCGAAAAGAAGGCGTTTAATGGTGCGGCGGGTGCTCTAGAAGTGGCATGATGGCGACGAGATTAATGCATCATTCCAGACTACTAGGGTTCCCGTCATGCCACCGATTGTCTTCAGATGTTATACGTTTTTCTAACATAAAAACGGGCAATTATCAGGCGAACAGAACAAGATGATTCATGAGGCACGTCGTTTTGTCGGGGTACTTGTACTACGAGATGATGTAGTCGCATCTGGAGCATGACAGCTGCAAAAACGGAAAGGATGATGATGGTGATGTGAAACGACATTCAAATATTGAGACTAGATTACTGTAGCTGAAGAGATTTCGCAATGCATAGGCGAAGGAAATTCGCACATTCGTTTAGACTTTTCGGGGAGTCTGAAACTTGAACGAATGAGCAATGCACGTCATCGGAACCTATTTTTTGTACACAACTTCTGTCTATTCAGGAATTTTCGAAATATTTGATTCAGATGATGACGATTTCCAAATTAAAGGAACACTTCATTTGTAATAGTTCTGCAGAGCCTAAGCGCTCAGTGGAAATCTTTTAATGTCTCTGTTATGAAATGAAATTGAGGTCCTGTCCCTTTCGTCACTACATGCTCTGAAACTGCCTTCTCCTAAACGTTTATCTCCGTCGTTTTCATAACTTGTGACTATGCCAGGTCTCGCGCACCAGAAAGAGCCATAGAATCGAAAAGAGCGAGCACAAGGAAACTGACTGATAAATGAAACATGAACGACCATATATGGCGAGTGTGGATGTTGAAGAGAGCACAGAGAGTTTCGCATTCTGTATTTATGATGTTGGCAATGTTGTGTTTTGTATCAATAGAGAAGTCAGCACCCTGACAAATCGGTCCTGACTCTTTGAACGAGGGGGTGTATACGTGTTGTGTTTCGAAATACAAAACGATCACCCTTCGAAGCTTCGGCCTATTTTCTTCGTCTTCTTCTTTTTCTTCTCGTTGTTGCCACCACGTAATCGGATTTGAAGGACGTTGATGAGCACACGCCGGGATCGACATGAAGCGAGTATGCTCTCCGGGAAAATTGGATTGAATTACCTATGTAGCCATTTGAGACTCAGCAAATAGGTTACCACACACAACACGTCTTCGTCCCCATTTCTTGGGAAGGATTTTTTGAACGAATTTTGCGCCTGGATGTGCATCGAAATCTCTGCGAAATTTATAATTTACACAGGTTTTATATGAAATATTATATATCGGGGGTGGTGGAAACTGAGAAGAAAGAGACAAATAAAGTCAAAAACATTGGGGGAGTGGTGGGGGTGCC